GTACAAAAGATTTGAAACTAATTAAAACAATAAACAATTTCTGTTACCGTTTTGTCTCTTTATATGTTTCGAAAAAATTCATGTTTATTGCCTCAGACATGCGTTGAATAATATGTGCCAAAATGCCCTTTACAGTTCATCGATTTCGAACAATTACTATTGCTGAATACAACTCCTTTAATAACATTTGACCATATTCAATTTACGGTAATAGTTTTTTGTAAAAAATACTATCGAAACAACTAATGTTATTTTGAAGAGTTGAATGTATTATTAGGAAATGTTTAATATGCATTAAAATTTCAAGGCAAAAAAGTCAGAAATTTATTTAAAATTAGAAACCAGGAACTTATTTTTAAAATCATTTAATTAAAACCAATAAAACAGCTTTTATTTAATGTTTAAAGGTAAACTTTATATAAAGTTAGTGCGTATAATAGTGTATGTTGTTGGCAGGACACCTTTTCAGTTATGAAGGTCTAGTTAGAGTCATATTAGAAACAGAAACAGGAGTTAAGAGGAGTACAAAGATGATTTGATGATGATAGACGTTGTAGTAAGATATTGTACAATGAGACGTTTAATAATTCTTCAGTAACAATAATAGTTTGCAAAAGTATCAAGTACATTGGAACGTGTATGCTACGAGTTATTCGTTGGTTTTGTCATGCTTGAAGAATCTGTAACACCTTGTGCATATAATAGCAACAGCTATTATAGAAAAGCAGGTTTCCATAGACTCCCAGTTGCATAATGGGCCTTAATGGGCGGAACTGGAATTATTACACAACTCTTTGCTCTATAGAGAATGACAATCAAACGCGCTTTGGTAAAACACAATCAGACAATTAGCGGTTGTTAAGTTTAGGTTTTTACGATAAGCCTTTTCCGCTTGGTAATTGGTTTTTCTAATTAAAAAGGAATCTCACCGTCACCAGTCATTATCTAATCGTAGGTGCACGTAAGTTGTACAATTTGAAACTTTCAATAATTAACGAAAACTATGCATAGAAAGAAAAAAAATATTACAACTACCGTCTGCTTTTTCAAAATATGCACGATTTTCGAGTGCGATGTCAAATAGGAACTTTCCGGCATTATTTATGCTAAAATATACAAAATAATCTAACATAGAAAAGCGCTCGTGAAATTATTCTGAGATGTATAGTATTTACTAAGCTTTGAGATGTGATACATATGTAAAAAAGTACGTAGAATCTCATGGTGCTGATGGTTTTCGAGCGCGATGTCAAATAGACACTTTCCGGCATTGTTTTTATTAAAATTTACAAAATAACCGAACATAAAAAAAGCGCACGTGAAAATATTTTGAGATGTAAGGTATTTACTATGATCTGAATGGTGATAGTTATGTAAAAAAGTACGTATAATCTCATGGTGCTAATGGTTTTCGAGTGCTACGTCAAACAGGCACTTTCCGGCGCTGTTTTTACTAAAATACCCAAAATAATCTAACATAAAAAAGCGCTCGTGAAATTATTTTGAGATGTAAGGTATTTACTAAGATCTGAATGGTGATAGTTATGTAAAAAAGTACGTAGAATCTCATGGTGCTAATGGTTTTCGAGTGCTACGTCAAACAGGCACTTTCCGGCGCTGTTTTTACTAAAATACCGAAAATAATCTAACATAGAAAAGCGCTCGTGAAATTATTTTGAGATGTAAGGTATTTATTGAGCTTTGATTAGTGATAATTACGTAAAAAAGTATGTAGAATCTCATAGTGGCAACGGGTTTATTGTGCTGGGTCAAATATATTAGATTTATTAGCGGGATTTTGTCCCCCAATATGAAAATTCGTATTTCCCCAAACTGGAACATCTCATAGTAATTTTGGCTTTCCTCAATTTATTGCAATATAATCGTGCTAAATACTATCTGTGGTTCTACAGTAAGTATCTATAGTTCTCTCATTTCTGCAGAGATGGAATTTTATAATTGGGTGTTAATTCGTAATTTAAATGCCATTAGGATTAGGTTTATCACCAAACGACACAAAAATCAAAAACAGTAAATAAAGTGTTAAGGTCAATGAATCTAATTATCAGTTGCTTATTTAAACGTTTTAATCGGTTGTAACATATGCAATTTTTTAAATTGCATTCGTTAATGTGATTTATGATAATGATTATCTGTGTACGTACAAGTGTACATGCTTGTTAAAGAAACTAAGACATGTAAACAATGATATTATAATAACGGCGTTGTTTACAATGAAGCGAATTTTTAATTCTTTGTTTAACGATGTCAAAGTCTATTTTAAATGTACAAAGAATGATTTTAACGTCGATCAATTTTAAGTGCACAAGTCTCATTTATTGTTTTACATTTTTTCATGAATTGCGTAGTGAAGTATTTATTGAACTTCCAAGTTTTTAGACAATTCGTATTCAGATAGGTAAGTTTAAAATAAGTGAAGTTCAATGACATAGTTTACACAATATTTTAAATGTCTTGTTGGTACAAGTAATTTTTATTATTGTTTGCATGTTCTTGTACCCACATGATTCGAAAATAAGGTCGACGATGCGAAAGAATTTAAATGAATTTCATTTCAACTTCCAGTCGAATAATAGGAATATTTATTCGCAAATTATACAGGGTGTCTTGTACAGAGTAGATAACCTTTTGACTGTATATATAAAGATTGTCTCTCTCTCTTCTTAATTCTTTGTTTTTGAAAAGCCTTTTTAAATAGTTGTGCTGTCACATGTGCCTTAAGGATTTAAGAGTAGCTACTGTAGTAATTCTACTACTCAGTAAGTTTTAGAGTTTAGTATGATATCAAACAGATATCAAAGAAACTCTACCGCCCATCTACTGCAAACTTTTTTTAAAACGGCCACGTATTCGCTCACATTCAAAGTATGAAGATTGGAAAAACTTTGGCGGTTGTTGTAGAACAAACAGAATAGCTCAAAACACGACACTGTAGTTGTCCGAAGCACTTTTCGGTAACAAAGTTACCTTCTTCAGGGACTGAAGTAAACTGAAGTTCAGTCCCTGAAGAAGGTAACTTTGTTACCGAAAAGTGCTTCGGACAACTACAGTGTCGTGTTTTGGCGTTGGGGTTTTGAGCTATTCTGTTTGTTCTACAACAACCGCCAAAGTTTTTCCAATCTTCATAA